CCCAGCGCCTTCACCAAGCCGCCGTTGAACACCGAGTAGTTCCGGCTGCCCAGCCCGAACGCGAGCACCGACTTGTGCAAGTAGTTCCAGCGCCGATAGCTCTCGCTGAACAGCTGCGGGCTCGCGATCAGCTGCGAGAAAAACGCCGCCGCTTCGTCCGGCAGCTCGCCGATTTTGTCCGTGTGCAGCAGAAAGACGACCACACTGTGCGGCTGGAAGAGCTGACCGGGGTCGGGCACGTTGCCGATGTGGAAGAGCCGCGTCGGCACACGCTGCGCGCGCAGCATCAACCGCATGTCCTCCGCGAGGTTCGCGCTGCGCCCCACGACCGCCGAGTGCACCAGGTTAAACATCGCCAGCCTGTCGCGCGCGCGTTCGAAAATCTCGCATTTTCTAAAAAACCGTATTTATTTTCGCACCGCCTGCGTCGCCGCGCCGCGCCCCCCGCCCCGGTTCGATGCAGCCGGACGCCGCCGCGTTCTACTGCGAGGTCTGCCGCCGCCAGCTGCGCGATAGCCGCGCGTTCCTCGATCACTTGACCAGCACTGCGCACAACGACGCCGCGAAAAAGTCCACGAAGGTGTTACGCGTGCCGCTGCGCCGCGTGCAAGAAAAGGTCGACGCGCTGCTGAACGCCGCCGACAAATGAGCAAGTCCCGAGTATTATTCCGCAAATTTATTTTGAAAATTTCGCCAGGAGCTCGCGCGAGTGCGAACAGTTGAGTTCCGTCGCCGCGCTGCGAGCCGTTTCGTCGGGCTGCGCATGCACCGCCACTACATCCTGTACCTGGAGCCGCGCTTCGGGCCGGCCGCTGCGCGCCGCTACGCCGCAACCCTCGCCGCCGCAGACGCCGTCGGCGCCGACGTCAACTCACTGTACCAACCGCACTGCTCGCTCACCGGCTTCTTCACCATCGACTCCGCTGACGCGCTCGACGCGCAGCTCGCCGCGGCGCTCGACGCGCGGCTCGCGTCGCTGCTCACCACCACGCCGAAGCCCAGCAACCGCAGCTGCGAGACCACCGCCTCCGTCTCGGACGACGCGCGCCGACCCGCCGTGTCGCACTTGCGCGCGGCGCCGCGCGCGGCCCCACCGAGCGACGGGCTGCCGCTCTCCGAGCGCGCGGTCGCGGCGCACAACTCGCGCGCCTCGCACGTCTCCGTCGCGCTCGACCGCCCGCAGCACACGCTCAGCGCCGCGGTCGAGCGCGCCAACGCGGCACTCCACTTCGTGCAGATCGGCCGTCGCAACTGCCTCTATCTGCCCATGCAGCTCGACTTTCTGGGCCCTGACGAACTCTACGCGTTCGGCAGCTGCGTCGCCGACGTCGTCAGCGCCGCGGGCTGCGCATTCGTGAGCGCGCGGCCCGGCGAAGCGATCCGCGTCAAACGCGCCGACCACCTCAGCATTCTCTCCGGCAACAACCGCGGCGATCCGCTTGACCTGCGCGCCGTGCGCGCCGCCGCGCAGCGCTTCGACGCGCTCTTCGCCAACCTGCCCGAACTCGAGTGGGACTTCGTCTGCTACCGCGCAGAGCGGCTGCCCGACGTGGCGGCCATGCGCAAGCCGTTGTTCCACGAAGTGTACCGCTGCCGCGGCGTCGCGCGCAGCGAGCTGCCGCCGACGTCGACGTCGCCGCCTAGCGCAGCTCTTGCCGCCGGTTCAGCTCTTTGACCAGCTTCGCGCGCGTCGGCTCGTCGAGCGCCGCCTTCTTCTTCTTCAAGTACGCGCGGATCGTTCGCGCCTCGCTCGCCGCCTTCTCCACGAGCGGCCGGTAACGCTCGCGAAACTCGGCACGCAGCTTCCGCTGCTTCTCGCCGCCCACGAAGCGCGGGTCCACACGCAGCGGCGGCTGCGCCGCGAACGCGAACTCCTTCGCCGGCGCCAGCCGCGACTTGCGATCCGCCGCCGCGCGCCGAGACGCCGCAGACGCCCACCCCGCTTCCGCAGGCCCTGCCGCAGACGCTACCGCGGGCGCTGCCGCGCCGTCCGCGGGCGGCGCGGCGCGCACCGCCGGCTTCTTTTTGCTCAGACGTGCCAGCTGCGCCACAGTGTACTCCATGTTCCAGCGCTCACGGCATTTAATTGAATCAAAATAATTTATCCATGCCGGGCTTGCTTCTTACGCTGCAGAGCTAGCATGAGCGAGTCTGACCGCGTGCTGCTCGAAACCGCGCTGTGCGCCGCGCAGACGTCCGTGTCGGCTAGCGACAAACTCAAAATCTTCGAACAACTCGCAGGTACGTTTGCGCGCGCGCCACGCAGCCTTTGAACGCCCCGCGCGCGCCGAGACGCTGCTCGCGCTCTGGCGTGCCGGCACCGGCTCTGAGCAGCTGCTACTCTTCGCGCTGCGCGCGCTCCGCAAGAACGCGTCGCGCGTCGACGCGCCGCTCCGCGAACAACTACTTTCGGAGTGCGCCTCGCAGCTCGCCGCGCGCGCGGACGCGCCGCGCTCCTGGCTGACCAAGCACGTCTGCGTGCTGCTCTGCGCGCTGCTCGAGACCGACTACGAGCGCTTCGCGCGCGACGTGCTCGCGCGGCTGCTCGCCGGCCCCGCCACCACTCCGCCCGACGCCGCCGCGCTCCGCGCACTCTCCACGCAATTCGAGCTGCTCGCGACGCTGCACGAGGAGCTGCTCTGCGCGGGCGCCGACGCTGACTCCAGCGCCGCGAAGAAAGCTGCGGGCGCTTTCCTGAAGGACCTACTGCGCGAACACTTCCTCGCGCAGCTGTCCGCGCTCTTCGCCAACGCCGCCGCCGCGCTGGCGCTGCTGCTGCCAAGTGAGCTCGCGCAGGACCTCTGCGTCGCGGCCACGGCAGCGCTCGCGCCGCTCGCCGAGTGGGCGCCGGACGCGCTGCTCAGCGACGCTGCCGTCTGGCAAATCGTGCGCTCCGCACTGCAGCTCGCACCCTCCGCGGACGCTGCCGCGCAGGCGGTCAACTGCGTCGTCGCGCTCGTGCACAAACGCTCTACGGTCGAGAAGCGCGCGCAACTCTTCCAGCAGCACGACGTGCTGCGCCTCTTCGCGGCGCTCGCGGCGCGGCTCGATGCCGAGCCCGCCGCAAAGCACCTCTTTCTGAGCTTCGCCACGCTCGTTGCAGACGTCCACCCCCACCTGCCCGACGACGCCTGCCAGTTCGTGCTGGACGCCTACTGCGGCGCCAGCGAGTTCCAGCTAATCGCCGGCATCGAGTTCGACGAGACGCTGCGGCTCATCTTCAAGTCGCTCGTGAGCGACGCGACTCGCGCTGCGCGCTTCGAGTCCGTACTGTCGCGCGCGCTCTCCGCGATGTGCCAGCATCTAGCTGCCGGTGCGCCGCTGTTCTCCACCGAAACCGGCCTCGCGCTCAACGCGCAGGCCGCCTACAAAGAGTACGACCCGTGCAACCGCGCCGAAGCCTACAACACCTTCTACCGGCTGATGCAGAACGGCGCGCTCGCGAAGACCGTCGCTTACCTGCTGCGCTTCGAGCGCTCCGTCGACGCCTTCCTCGCGCAACACGAAGCCTTTCTACAACGCGCGCGGGCCGCGCCAGAGGACGCGCGCCAGCTCCGCGTCGCGCTCTCCATTCTGCTCGCGCTCGCGCACGCGCTGCGCGACGCCGACGCGCAGCACGCTGCGAGCTGCGCCGGCGCCGAGCGCCTCGCGAACTACGTGCTGCACGCACTACTCGACGCCGCGCTCTGCGAGCGCGCGTTCGCAGATGTCGTCTGCGCCTGCCTCTACCTGCGACTCGTCCAGACCGCGCAAAAGCTGCGCTTCGCGCAACCGAAAAGCGCGAAAAAGGCCGCGGCGCTCGCACTGTTCGCGCAGCGCGCTGTCGCGCTGCTCTCCAACAGCTTCTTCGTCCACTACTACAAGCTCGCGCTCACGCACGTCACCGCGGAGCGCGCAGAGCCGCTCGCCGCCACCGACCGCGCCGCGGCCGCCAACTACCTGCAGCGCTTCGCCGAGGCGCGCCCCTTCGTCTCTGCGCTCTTCAAGGGCTTCGCCGCCTTCATGACCGCCTGCGCGGAGCCCTCCGAGCTCACCGCAGAGCTCAACCTCGCGACGCTCAAAATTGCCACGCTCGCGCCGCCGGCGCTCGACGCGCTCGCCGCGCTTTCACAGAGCGCCGTAAAGCCGCCGCTCCAGTACCGCAACTTCGTCGCACCGCTCGCCGTCGACAACATGCTCGTCGAACTGCCTGTGTACAGCCAGATTCCCAACGGCGCGGTCGCGAACCTGCTCAGCTTGCACGACGTCTTCACCGCGCCCGCCGGCTTCGCGCTCTCCGCCGCCTCGCAGCCTGCGCTCGCCGCTTGGCTGCGCGCCACGCTCGCCACACTCTCCGCGCACGCGCACTCCTCCTGCGTCTACGACCTCTGCCTGCGCACGCTCTTCGCGCTCTCGGAACTGCTCAGCAAGCCGAACGCCGCCTTTCTCGCCGCGCTCGCTGCGCCCGCCGCCGCGCCCGCCGAAACGCTTCCCGCGCTGCTCTCCGAGTTGGTGAACCTCGCAATCGACCTCGCTCATCGCAACCCGCGCCTCAGCTTCGTGACCTTCCACGCACTCGCTGCCGTCTGCCGCAAGTGCTTCGCGATCCCGTGGCTCGAACGCACCTGCGTGCGTCTTCTCGACCTCGCCGAAGTCGGCTGTGCCAACCTCGCCGCGCTCGCGGAGAACGCGCCGCTCACGCCCGAAAAGCTCTGCGAACACCTCAACAGGCTCGCCAGCTTCTGCGTCGCGCTGTTGCAGCGACAGCCTGCGCTTCTCTTCGCGAAGCGCAGCTGCTTCTGCGCTCTGCTCGACGTCGCGCAAGAAGAGTTCGTTTTCGCGGAGCCCAGCCTGAAATGCGGCCTACTCAAAGAACTACTCAAATTTCACTTATTTACGCTGACCTCCTCGCTCCCGCTCGCCGTCGCCTTGCTCGCCGCCTCCGCGCAGAACCGCGCGCCCGCAGCAGAGCTCGCGCAACGGCTCGCCTTCGTCCGCAAGTGCCTTTCCAACGAAGCCAGCCGACACAGCGCTGCCGTCGACGTTTTCAGCGC